CCAACGGATAGTGGGATTGACCGTTACATTATAACGCCTCCACGGCTGAAAGGGCGAGCATGTTCGATGGAATAGGGATTCGAACCCGCGATCTGCAGATTGCGAGTCGAGCTCCCTAACCACCTGACCATGCCGGGCACGTATAAGTGCTAGAGTTTGTTTTGCATCGGCAGTGTTATAATATTGCAGTGCCCTAATTGTTTGTCACAGCAGGCTACTTTATTATTAAAAAATTACATTATATCATTTGGATTATATATACTTACCAAGCCACTGCAATAGCTCAGTCGTGAACTCAATGGCTTATAACGCTAAATTTCGCGGGTTACTCGCTGAGAATGGCATAGCACAGATAGCCCATTGTTCTGCTTATTATTTAACTATAAATAAAACAAAAGAGTTAAAATCACCTAAACTTTTTTTATGAATGTAAAATAATATTCCCTATTTTAATTTCTATCCAAGAATGGTACGTATACTTAGCATAACACGTATGTTTTCTCGTCGCTTAGGAAAACGTATTTCTAGTCCAGAAATTATCATTACAACGGTTTAAAACTTTCTTAATTGGAATCAAAGTGTAGAAAGGGACAAATCAAAACTGATCATGTTGTATTTGTCAAATCCGAAAAAGGTAATAGTATTTTCATTAAGAGGCTATAATACAACTTTTACGAATGTATCAACATTTTATTTAATTACAATTACGAAATGTAACTCAAACATACCTTTAAATAACAAGGTAAAATAGAAAATTCATTTACTGCAATTAAAAGTCGCATTACTAAAGATATTTTATAATAATTTGTTGTCATTTAACATCCATTCTATCACATAATAAGCGAGAATTTTTTAGAGTAACTTTAAGGTTCTAAATAGATCCTAAAATGTTTAAATGTTAAAAGCAAGACTTCAATGTTTGATTCTATACAGGAACTTTCTTTCCCATACATGTGGAAATATGACGTACTTTTAACACAAGAAATATTACAGTGAGTTATACTCATTGTTCACGAAAGGCATGCGCAATTGCTTTCGAAGCATTCTCACATTACTGACGTAATCTGAAATATTCGTCTGGTGAAATAGCTTTCAATTACAAAATTTAAAATATTTCCTACTAATAAACTTTGGATAAGTGAGATATTGTTCTCTGTAGTTTCCTTTCAAACATCCTCTGTCTAATGTTTATAAACTAGAAGAATTTCTCTCCATTAATCTGGGTTTCAAAATCCAAGATAAACATTAATTCATCAGTTTAGACAGCAGACTTATTCTAACTGGAAAGAGTCCTGCTGACCACTAAATCTCTTGCTAGACGGTTTAAACGACAAAGGCAAAAATATACGTAAACAATAAAATGCAGCCTAATTTATAAATGTTTATCCTGATATAAAGTCTGTTACAATAAGCATTAACACTAACAAGAACGTGGGCACAAAATAGACCGAGAGAGAAAGAGAGTTGTATAAATATAGGTGTTGATCACGTAAGTCAGATCATCTACTACACACACATCGAGTATACACAAGCAACTCTGTAAAATTTGACGTTCCTGGTGAAACAATAACATATTTTAAAATAGTTTTTATTTTCCTGTATTTTTTTCATCAAAATAATTTCCTAATACAATATTTTAAATTACAGTATAAGATTTACAAGATAATATTTTTTTATTTCCGAAATGCACAAAACATATGTTCAAGAGGGCTCTACCTTTTATACTCTATATGATATTCAGAGTTCTTTATCTAGGGTTAACATGATTGAATTATAAATTTTCTCGCGCAGGTTTTTTGGATTTTGATGAAGACAAGCGCCAAGTCGTAATTCCTTATCCTCGTGGAGCTTGTCGGAAGACAAACGTCAAGGTTTGATTCCCTTTCCTCGAATTGGACGAACTTCCCGGAACATGACAGAAGACAAACAAAGAGTTCTGGTTCCGTTTCCTCAAGTGGATCAGTCTGAAGAGAAAGATTTGCAACTAGCTCTTATTCCACGTCAAGTTATTCCTTCACCTCGATTCGGTCGATCATTTACTTCTGGTATTGGACGTCACGTTTCGGTTTGGCCCGACTCATTGGTTGTTCAGCAGGATGGAGACAAACGATCATTCTTTACTCCACGCATCGGTATAACTCTGTTCACACCCCGAATTTATAAGACAGACATCGACAGTGACAGTAACATACCACACATATACAGGGTATTAAATACGGATTATTACATTAAGACACGACCTCCTTAACGATGAATAGTTATAAATATATAATTACTCTTCAAAAATGTGCTCAAAAATACACAGTATTGAAGATACTTGTGTTACTTGTCATGTGTAAATGTAAAAATTGTGTTGCTCAAATAAACTAATAGCAAGTTATTCAGGATTATTCTGTTCTTACTTATTCTATTACTTGTAATGTACTATGCACACACACACAGTCACGTGTACGTATTTTGTCTACAGAATAACACAAATTTCATACGTATCCAAATTAGTTAACTATTAAAAATCTGTGATATTTTATTCGATGAGACGTTAGTCTGATCGTAACAAGGTTATGAACAGAGTGTATAAGTTTCTAAAAACTGTCATTTTAAAAACCCTTTTAACTATACAGTTTATTAACTATATCTTGCATTTGAAAATAAACGGGATTTAACTTTACATTTTCTGGATGTAATGAAAACCCTTTAATCTTTCTTTATCATCTTATGAAGTAATTCCTTTTTAATAACGTCACTAATTACAAAATATAACAAATATGATGATTACCATACGATCCTTACTAACATTTAAATTTTTTTTTATATTTTCTATTAGACAAAAGTGCTTAAAGTTATGAGTTATGATCACTAAAGTAGACAAGCAAAATTTACATAACTCATCATATTATTAAAAATAATAATCGTCGTTTTGTTCAATCGAGAACCGTTGTAATAATGATTTATGGATTAGAAATATAGTTCTCAAACTGTAAACGATGAGAAAACTTAAATTT